GGGGAGGGAGGGGAAAAATGAGGACCTAATGTTGGGGGTTTAAGTGGAGAGAAAATGTTTTGAGAATGATGAGGGCAATGAATGTACAAATGCGCTTTACACAACTGATGTGTGTATGGATTGCGATAACAGTTGTATGAGCCCCTAATAAAATGTTTGAAAAAGAAAAAAAAAGATTTGAATCACAGATTTGACAAATATATTAAGTGTAACGGAGAGTACTTTGAAAATGATAAGGTTGTTTGGTAAAAAAAATTTAAATACACTGGGGAGAGAAAAAAATCTGGTTGACTGAGGGTACTCCTTCCTACACCAGAGTGAACGATGGGCTGGTCCTGATCCACCCGCACGGTTGTTCTCAGGGTTAGGCTCACTGTGCAGTCCTGTGTCCACCCACCTTGTTGAGGGCCTTCCTCTTGTTCAGCGCCCCTCGACTTTACCAAGCATGGTGTCCTCCAGGAACCGGTCTCTTCTGGTAACCTGTCCAAAGTCTCGCCACCCTTGCCTCTAAGGAGCATTCTGATGTTTGTAGCCATCCTCTCCTCTTTAGCTATCCGTTATCTACTTGTGTTTTTGCCAGATTGCACTAATGTTGTGGGCTTCACCGCCTCTCTCTATTCCTAATGGAAGCAAGAATGCTCTAAAGGCCCGGAAACAGGAAGGCAACCAAGGAAAACTCAAGGGCTTAGTCTCCTACAAACAGGCCGACGAAGGGGAAGACTTCCTGTGCTGTTGGATCTTGGGCACATGACCCACCTTTCTGAGTCCCACTCGCCACACTTGTCAGGTGTGGGTGATCCCAGTTCCCGCTTCCCCCCCGGCTGCTGTGCGTAGGCAGTGAGCGCTCGATACCTGGAGCACACAGCGTACATCCCGGACTCCGGAAGGCCTGCTAGAGCAGCCGTTATTAGCTGTTTTTCAAGAGCCGTCTGCTGAAGGGCGGCCAGTCCGCATGGTTAGTGGGTTAGTGGGCACAGAAACAGACAAAGTATTTGGAAATGCTGTCAGCCATCAATGTAGGCTGGCTTTTCTACCAGAGTTGTTTCATTGTTGTCCGAGTTCATTTGATCGTGTCATCGGTAAAAGTCTTGGTCTGGAAAATTAAAAAGGAAAAGGAAAAACTGGTCTTTCAGAACAGGCGGTTTTGAGAAGCTCTGTTTTGAAGCCCAGCACCGGCGGTTGCAGTGCTCCTTGGAAGCATGCAGGGGTTTCTTAGCCAGTGTGTGTGGTCGGCGTCTTCCTGGGAGGTTGCAGGCCTGCCGACGCTCTCCCAGATGTGGTGCATCTGGAGTATGGGCCATGTGGCCATGTCTAACCAGGTGTGTGGGATGAGGGGCAGTGTTCCACATAGCGACATGCTGGCTTCACACAGGTGACCTCCTCCTTCCAGCCTGTAGCGCAGAGTAAAAGATGGGACGACATCAGAACCAGCCTGTGGGTAGAGGGAGGCCAACCCACTCCAGAGACCTCAGAAGAGCAAAGTCCTTGTCGGATTGTGAGAGTCACTTGTCCTGATTCACAGTGACCACGCCAGGCCCACTGGGACTGCCCCCGAGTGCTTCCTCGCCTGCAGCTGCCTGGGAGCTCACTGGCCAGGCCTTTTCTTTCTGGGAGTCACAGGTGGGCTCCAGCCACCAGGGTTCGCTTAGCAGTCAAGCACTTAACCAGTGCATCACTAGGGACTCTTTCTACACCTCTGCATTCTGGTGGCATGCTGGTTACTAACCACGAGGTCAGTGGTTTGAACCCACCAGCTGCTCTGAGGGAGGGAGGCGAGGCGTTCTGGGACCTCAGTGACTTCAGAAACCCACAGGGACAGTTCTACTCGGTCCTGTGAGGTCACCATGAGTCAGGATTGGCTCGTTGGGAGTGTGGGTTTTAAAGAAACACATGAATCCGTAGAACGTTTCAAAAGTTAAAATTGAGTCTTTGAGTATTGGGTTTGAGGTTGCCAACTTGGGTGAGGTGGGGGCAGGGCGGGAAGAAGAGTGCTTCTGTGGAATTTTAAATAATGTAAAATTCCGATTGGGTCCAAATGACTGGTCTCAAGCAGTCAGGACAGTGCGAAAGCAGTATAAGCCCAGACGTACTTTCTCGGTCAGCCTGGGCCACAAAGTGGTCACCTGAGCACTTACCCACGGGAGCCCCTTGTGAACTCTTGTTTCCCTTTGACCCAACCATGCTGTCTGGTGGAATTTCTTCTAGAAACTCATCTGACAAAAATGTCCTGGAGCAGGAGAACGCTTATTGTGACATTGATGATTGGCCCACACCCACAACTCCCCGGTGACCGTTCACATCACGTGTGGTCCTTGGAAAAGCAGACAATAGATCTATATTTAGTGATGCGACAGATGCCTGAGCTCAATGGCTAAAGGACAAAAGAAAAACCCCACGTGCAGCGTGACCTCACGTGTCACAGAGTTGCCTGTGGCCAGGATGGCCTGCAGGTGGGCTCAGGCTGGGAGTAGTGGCGAGGAGGGCCCGGGACCGGGCAGTCTTTCGTTCTGTGGCCCGGGGCCGCTCTGGTCTGGAATCAACATGATGATGGCACCTACCAGCAGCAGCAGCCACAAGGTGGCCTTGAGTGGCCCGGATGTACGTCAGAATGGCTATCGGTGTGGGGACTCTGCTGTGGCTTTGGCGTCAGTCTGCCTCCTGGAAGCTTTCCCCCCTCTTCCACGAGCCTCCCCTTCAGCAGACATCGGAAGCTCATGTGCTGTGAACGCAGACATAGACAAACCCCCATGATGTAGCATTTGCCACAGGTGGCACGTGAGCATGCGTCCTGATTTCGGGGCCTAGCCCTTTCTCTGGACACGCTCAGGAGCGTCCCGCGAGGGGTGGTGAATGCGGGTTCACGCTGATGAGGCGGGGCACCCCGTCGCCCTCTCCATCCACTTTACATTCCGGATACTGACGTTTCCTTGTTTGTTTTTTAACAGCGAGCCTGCATTACTGTGAAAGGAAAAGCAATGTTGATTAAAAGAGCCATTCGCAAAGGTCAAATCGTCTATGTGGCCCTTGTCATAAAGAGAAAAGAGAATCAAAAGCCAAGATCAGGACGTTGGAGTTTGCCAGAGCGGGGCGATAGAGCAATAGGCTGGAGCAGGGATCGCAAAGCTGGAATTGCCACTCCTGTCCCGCATAGCAACTTGGGAATTACTCAAGAGCCAGAAATGTATTTTCGACAAACAAACGAACTCACCACATTCAGAGTCATGTCATTCAAAAGTTTTCAGTTTTACTCCAGAGCCACGTGTGTGTGCCGGAAGAGCTGCACACGGCTCAAGGGCGCAGTCTGCGGAGCCTGGCTGGCCGGCTGCTGCATGCTGGCCCGGGTGCCGTGGGAGATGGCCACCCAGCAGAGGGCGAGGAGACACCCAGCAGTCTATTGGAAACTGTTGGAGGGGGCTGAGTAGTCTAAACTGCTGCATACAAACCCCTGCCTAATTTACATGCTTAAAAGAAAAGAATAAATGTAAATTAAGTGTATGTCTAATGCACACCAAGTAATTGCTGCCAGCTCTGTGATGCTACCTAAAAAAAAACCCCAAAAGAAAAATGAGGATCTAATGTCGGGGGTTTAAATGGAGAGAAAATGTTTTGAGAAATGATGTACAAATGCGCTTTACACAATTGATGTGTGTATGGATTGTGATAACAGTTGTATGAGCCCCTAATAAAATGTTAAAAAAAACCAACAACAACAAAAAAACCCAAAGCCAAAGAAAAAAAAACACCCCAAAACACTTAAAGTTAAAATTGGGTCAGAGGTCAGGATCAGGGTCTTCAGCTGGAGGGGAAGGAGGACCTGGGAAGCGTGTTTATGGGCCAAGCTGCTCACATGTCCTGAGGTCAGAAGTAAGAGTTAGAGCTGCTAGCATGTTGGGCTCTGGCGTGCGGCCCACCCACCACCCCGCCTGCAGACCCGGGGTGAGGCGGAAGGCGCAGGGGTGTGGGAAGGGTGGCTGAGGCCTTTCTCAGCAAAAACTCTGGTTGAAATAACTCTTTGTTTTCAAATCACAAAACCCAAGCATACTTTTAATTGCCAGACTGTGTGCTACTCTCCAGAGACTCGACCGACCCGTATCCTTTCCTCCAAAAAACTAAAGGCCTGATAAGATAAGGGGAGTGATTTAGTAAGGAGAGGAAATTGAAAAACTTGTGATTTGGGGAAATTTTCCAGTTTGAAAAAAAAGTTTCAAAATAGCCCCACTATAAATCACTTAGTGAACATACTGTTTCTTGACTGACATTGACTTCTAATCAGCGTTTGAAGGACTAAGAAGGAGCAGTAAGAGTGGCGTGTGTGTGTTTGTGTGTACACACGTGTACACATGCGTACACACACATACCAAGTGTATGTGTACAAACTCAAAACAACTGCCACTGAGTCATTTCTGACTCACAGTGACCCTGTGTAGGTCAGGGTCCAGCTGCCCATGACTCTCCCAGGCTGTAACTCTTCACAGCCCCATCTTTCTCTAGAGGAGCTGGCTGACAACACCCCTGATCTAGAAGGTCGCCCTTCGTTAAAGAAAAGCCCACTCTGCAGGACGCTGTCTGGTTACAGGCCACAATCTCCCCTCCTTGATTTGGCCTCCCCCTTTCCCTGCTCAGAAACACATGTCCAGCGGTTCCCCACCACCGCCAAACAGAAGTGCAGGCTTCTCGCCTTCCATCTTGCTTTTAGCAGAGGACACCCAGCCTTCCTGCTCTTCCTCCCCACATGGGCCCTCCGCTGGGGGCCGCCTGGAACGCTCCCTGGCTTCTCTCCTCTCACCTCTCTCCATCGTAAGTGAGGGGTTCCTGCAGCCTCCTCCACCGCTCTGTTAGAATGGAGCGAGCTGGCTGTGTTCACCCAACCTCCTCTCCACTGGGATCACCCCGCCTGTGGCCCCCAGCGCACGGGCATGGCAGAACACTCTCCGTTGGGGACTTGCGTGGACCTTTATTGGTGTATTCTTTACAAACACTCGAAGGGTAAGAGGAGGGCGGGGGAGGAAATGTGAGAGTGCCTGCTGGCGTCCTTTCCATTCCTGCACCACGGTCTCGTAACAGAATGTGAATTTGGATCCACGGACTGCTTTGTAGTTCATTTTACCCAGTAAGTCGTATTCAGCGCAAGTCAGTACCGTTTGCCATCAAGCGGATTCTGCCTCAGGGCAGCCTTGCGTGTCAGAGGGACTGTGCTCCGTGAGGTTTTCAGTGGCCCGGTTTTCTAAAGTAGGTAGCCAGGCCCGAGGTAGTTAATTGTGCCAACCTGGCCGATAAACACATGTGGGGTTAACTGAAGGGCGGAGGGATAAATGGCTCAGTGAGCCTCGCCTTTCTAGTTCTTGAGTCTCTTGCTTTCTGATGGTTGGACCAGGGTGCAGCTGCCTTAGCCAGTTCCCTGCTTCAGCTGGCAAGGCTCACTTCCTGCAAGATAGTCATGAAGAGAAGCTGCATGGACCTACCCCGATGCAGCCCTGGGTGCTGGAGCACCTGTGTGGAGACCCCGCCAGCGCTGAGATGCCTACACACTCACGGATTCGGCTTTCCTCCTGCAGTCATCACAATCGCATGTGTTTTGTGAGATGGAGGAGGACTTTGGGCTAATGTTGGACTTGTGAGCTTGGGCAGCACTGGGTTGGGATGTTTTCTTGATGTGCACTTACCCTTTATATAAAACTCTGTCTTACATAAATGAGTTTCTGTGGATTTGTTTCTCTAAAGACTAACACAAGGCCTTTCTTCCAAGGAGCCCCCGAGGGGCCTTGAACGGGCACCCTTACAGTTCGCAGCTGGGTGTGTCACCATGGGACACCACACAAAGGTCACTTTCTGCTTTCTGCCTCCCATCCTGAAGGTGTGCCTCGCCACCACCGGGGTGAAATCTGGAAGTTCCTTGCAGAGCAGTGCCACCTGCGACACCAGTTCCCCAGCAAGCAGCGGCCACGGGACACGCCGTACAAGGAGCTCTTGAAGCAGCTGACCTCCCAGCAGCACGCCATCCTCATCGACCTCGGTAAGTGAGCTCCCAAGGTGGGCGGCTGGAAGTGGCCCTCGCTTGGAAAAGCTGGAGGGCTTGGGTCCAAGCTGTCCGGCGATCTGATCTGCCTCTGGGTTTAGCCATTTGCTACCAGGATTTCATTGAAAAAGACCCGGAGCAGTCACCACATTCCTCCTAGGCGTCTATGAAAACCTCCCCATTTCCCCGCGGTGGCTTGTTCACCCCTGATTGGCATGGAGACCGCTGCTCGTTAAGGCTGCAGGTCCAAACAGTGGTTCCTGATAGGAGAGTGTTACAGTCAGCCAAGGGAACATCCTGGGAAGCATGTCAGCTTTCACACCGAGGCGTTGGTTTAATTTCGGGAGCCACTAAGAAGGCTGTGTGTGTGTGTGTGTGTGTGTGTGTGTGTGTGTGTGTGTGTGTGTTTGCCTTTGAAGTTTGTCTTGGAAACGGGGCAGGCCTGCCTGTGGCAGCTCACTGGCTACCTTTGCAGCCGGAGCAAGAAGAACATGTTGACTTAGGGCACATCACTCTGTACAGAGGAATTCCTGGGTGCTGCAAATGGGTGAAATACTCGACCTCTAACCAGAAGGCTGGGGCTTGAGCCCACACCCAGGGACCTTGGCAGAGAGGCCGGGGGTCTGTTTTGGAAAGATCACGACCCCTGAAAGCACGGCAGAGCGCAGAGCTGCTCTGCCCAATGGCTCTCCCAGCGTCGGAGTTGACACGATGGCTTCTGGTTTCCTTTGGTCATGATGTGTGAAAACCCGGGAACCTTTTTCTCACAGATTGTCGCAGCCTTGCCTGAGGCCCCGGGGTACGGTGGATTCTGTTATGCCTCTGTCTCCACTGTGGACAGGGCTCCCAGGGGACCCAGTGGGTCCGCTGTAGTGTGAGCTGAGCCCTGCTGCCCTTAGGAAGGCCCGTCCTGGTGGGTGCTGCCCCCGGGGCCTGCTCTCAGCACCCTGCTCTTGAGGGGCTCCTGCACCTCCACCGCCAGGATGGAGGGCCTCCCCGGCATTTGAGGTGGTGAATTGGATGAGGCGGGTGGAGTCTTGTCCATCAGGCCTCGCAGTCCACCATGAGGGCTAATTTCCTACATGGCTCTCTTGAGGCCTGCCCAAACCAAAATACCAAACTAGATGGCAACTCCGAGCGGCGCTCTAGGACAGGGTAGAAGGGCCCCCTGTGAGTTTCTGAGACGGTGACTCTTTATAGGAGCAGAGAGCCCCATCTTTCTCTGCGGAGCGACAGGTGGTTTTGAACTTCTGACCTTGCCGTTAGCGGCCCACTGAGCCACCAGGGCGGCAGAGTGACATTCTCACTATTAGCCGAGAGGTGGCCGCGTGAACCCACACTGAGGCACCTCAGAAGCCAGCCCCGCCCTGCCCACCTGCTTCTGAAAGACCCAGCCTCGACACCCCAATGACACGGGGTTCCACTCTGCACACGTGGGGCTGCCAGGAGCTGGAAACAATTTGGAGGCAACACCCCCCACCTCTTTGGGTCCAAGCCTACATGCAGTCACTGCCCCCACCTCCAGACTGGACCCGATGCCTCCGCTGGGCACTTCTGTGCCACCCCAGCCTCTGGCCCTGGTGAGACTTAACCACCGTTGTCATTATCCTCCTCATTCTTCAAGAGTAACATTTTGCCTGTGCCCTGGACAAACATCAGGAGTCCCTGGCGGCACAGGGAGTTGAGAACTTGATGGCTAGGTAAAAGCACGGAGGTTTGCATCCAACCAGCGGTGCCTGGGAAGAAAGGCCTGGTGCTCTCCTTGTGAAAATTAAAGCCACGGGAAGCTGCGTGGAGCAAAGTTCTACTCCGAAGCACCCCAAGTCAGAATCAATTTGATGGCAACGTTGGTCTGGGGGCCGAGCATTGCTTCAATCAATTACTTTCTTTAGAACTCACACTATCACAATGAGCCAGCCCTCCCAAGTCTCATAGCAGGACCCTGTCAGAGAGGATGGAACTACCCTATAAGGATTTCAATCTTGTCATTGTGGAAGCTGACTTCTCCCCCCAGAATGACTGGTGGCTTTGAACCATTGACATCTTGGTCAGTAGCTGAGTGCTTAACCCATGTGCCACCAGGTTTCCGGACCATAGAACATAATCAGATAGCTCTCATTCTGTCCCACTTTCACGCAGACTCACTGCCTTCGACACGACTCCTATGCATAGCAGGATTGGAGGACAGGGCAGCATTTGGCTCTGTGGGTTTTCAGACCCGCATTCTATCCTGGAGCAGAAAGCCTCCTCTCTCTCCCTTGGAGTGGCTGGTGGTTTCGAACTGCTGACCTGGTGATGAGCAGCCCGACGCATAACCTCTACGCCACCAGAGCTGCTGCTTTTTAAGGCTGAGGACAGTGGACACACGCAAAGTGGGGAAGCCACTTGCTGGACTCACGCAGCCCTGGCTGCTGCTGAGCAGGGTGTCCCTAGCCCCCAGGCTCCTTACCCCACCCACCCAGCCACAGTTCTGCCTCACCAGCATTGTGTCTTTGCACTCTCCTCCATGGGGTGCCACTGGGCGGGGCTCTCTGACCATGCCACCCCCTATCACATATGGAGTGGGTACTCAGGCCCCCACCCTGTGACTTACGAGGTGCTGGCGGGCTCCCCAGCCTCATGCAGCCCTCCCAGAGCCCTAGAGGTCGGCCTGCATCCTTGTTCAGAAGTGAGGAAACTGAGGCACGGAGGGGTTCAGTGTTGGCTAGCTGAGTGGAGGTCTGCTGTTGTTGGGAGGTACCACCGAGTCAGTTCCAGGCCACAGCGACCTGATCATGGGCAACAGAACCACACTGTCAGGTCTGCACCCCC